AACGTCCGATAATAGGTATGGTACAAGAAGAAGAAGAACTATTCAAAGGATTCAAAGATTATGTACTTTTTCAACTGACTTCTTTCTTCATGTGGTTTTAGTTCAATACAAAAGTAATCTTAATATTGCTTTCCCTTGTATGTCATGTAATTTTGGCTGAACAAACTATTTACTCAGGCTAATAAAAAGATTCACATGGATAACAACAAGCAAGTCAGAAAGATACGGCTCTGTTGTATCCTGGATTCAAATCTTATTTTAAAAAGAATAAAAACAGTAAAGTTATCTAGCCACAAGTTTTTCCTATCATGGAACAACATGAGACAACTATTAAATTTTATCATGTATTTCCAGAGCTTCAAGTAGAGTTACAAGATAAAGAGACTGTTGTTGTCAAACAGAATATGAAAAAAAAATCCCTATCAAATAGCAAAGTAGCAGAAAGTTAAAAATTACTTTAATTAATAGGTGAACTACAGAATACTTATATAAAAGACAAGTGCAAAATGCTAAAAGGAAACTCCATTTTAATAAACCTAAAGTAGATGTAATTTTAAAGTACACAGCCACAGTGAAGGCATAAAATATAATTTAAAAAAACAATCCTTACATTAGAGTATTCATAGACAACAGATCTCCATCGTATAGAATTCCTACAGTTCTATTTCTATTTACCCAAACATTTTCCTTGGCTACTGAATTTGAAAGTTGTGTTCAGATAAATTTGACTAACCAGTCTCTGTAAGTACATTTTTCAAAAATAACGTTAACAGAAAATTTCATACAGCATGAAATTTCCCAAATAAACATAGCAGAGGATGCTCAGGTATGCGTCACAAGATATGGAACGCTTGTGATGACCCAAGGAAAGCATCAGGTATAACAAAGAGGCTTTGTCTGAGTTAGACTTTCCCACCTCCAAATTAAAGTGATATCCATCCATTCTTTAGCTAACACAGGGGTCTTCAAACTTGACAGCTTTAAGACTTGTGGGCCTCAACTCCCAGAATTCCTCCTCCAGTCATGTTAGCTCAGGAATTCTGGGAAACTTGCCAAGTTTGAAGACTCTTGAGCTAACACAACAGTTTCTAATGGTTTGTGTGTGCAATTCATTATGTGAAACGTGATTATTTTTCTCCTCTGGCTTTGCGGTTGATATTAGACAACAGTGAAAACAACCACAGATATGGGTGTTTGAGGAAAAACGAGGTGGGTCCAATTGTAGGAATCTGGCTTGCATTCTCTAGAGCAGGGTTTCCCAAACTTTTTCCTTCATCACTTAGAATAACTTATTAGAAAGTCCTTTTTATCCAATGTCAATAATAAAACACTTAAAGTCAATTTAAATGTACCTGTTGTGCTTGAGTAATGGGTTTGTGTGTGGTAACCCAAAGAAAACCACTTTTACCCAATTTTGGGTAATTATCAAAATTTGGAAAGCACTGCTCCAAGTTGATTTTGCTGCCCTCTCTCTCATACCCTATTTAGATAACACTCCATTAAAATAAAGTGAACTAAAGGAACACTGGCATAAGTGTGATTGGACACACAAGGAATTTGTCTTGGTGCAAATGCTCTCAGTATACATAAAAGAAAATATACATTCAACCAGAGTCAAGAATCATAAGGAAGAAGAATCATATATACAGAAACTACAAATAAACAAAGAAACAAAGCCCAATTCAGTATCCTGGTTATTTTCTGGATATTGAATGGAGAGCAATAATCTGCAGCATTTAAAGTTAGACATATGTGTTATTGTGTTGTCAAATTGCCCTCTCATCTTCCTTAGATAAAATCATGGAAATTTGGTCATTTCAGTAAAGCAGAATTAGACTAATAAAACCTCTCTTCTCTTACTTTCTGAAGTCCTGTGGCCTGTTCTCCTTTCTTGATCAAAAGCCTAGAGAAAACTTGGTATCAAAACAGGGAGTCAAAATGACAGGTAGGAAACGTACTTAAGAAAGTGCCAATGAAGAAAACATTGAGGAAGAAGCTAGCTAGTGACCAGAAGAAAAGGGGCATCATATCAACATCCCTCAGAAGAAGGAAAAAGAAAAAGAAAAACCTCTGATCACACTTCAGTCCAAAATAACAGGCAGCAAAGTATTATGAATTTTATGTGTCTTGAAGCTGTGGTGGGATAGTATTAATTTAAGAAGGGGAATGGTACCTTAATATTAGTCTCATTACTGATCATTTGTTTGTTTAACTTGTAGGCTGGGGTCTGGGTAGAGATGAAAAAAAGCATAAACATTGAAAGTATATTAAAATAAAAGTAGAACAGGTTTGCAAGGATCAAGACATTCATCATGCCATATATCAGGTCCACATATGAGATCACAGCATTTATAAAGCAAGCAAGATATTCTAATTAAGTTCACTTCAACCATATATATTACTGTATACAGACAGTAATATGTATACATATCTACATCCCAATCAGAACATTCTTTCTATTGTATAGGAATAATTAAAATACATACTATTTTTTTCAGAGCATGCAAAATTAAATTAAAATACCACATCTGCTTTTTATTATTATTTAAAGATTCTTATACTAACATAATATTATCTGCATCAAAACATTTGTTTGTTTGCTTGTATTCCAATATCTATATTTGAAAAACAATTCAGAATAAACACTAGGCATTTATTATGATAAACATATTCAAATTTTACACTTACCAGCATTTTGAATATTAATTGAGACAATAAAAAGAATCTTTACTCTTTATTTTTTAACTGTAGGATTAGCATGATTATCAAACATATTTTATTTAGCGTTTTTCCTGGATATTAATACCTAAGGTAGATTAATATCTTAGCATAATTTTAGTTGGATATTAATACCTTTCAAAGTTCAAATATGGGCACTACATGTCACAATAACCTTTCTGTGATTAATATATTTGGATATATTTCAAGATTTTTAAAAGCACATGAATAACATACATCTGAAAAACACTTCCTCAGATATATATATATACCATAAATATATGCTCATTAAGAAACCATAATTGCTTGCATATTCCTTTGGCAATGTGTTCAAAAGCAAATGAGTTGCTTCTCTACAATATGCCTCTTTTGGTGTCTAAGAATTATAATTAAGATTTCTTGGGAGAAGGGCTGAGAGCTACGAAGATGGTAGAGCCACATTACACATGGGCGAGGCTGGGTTTTGGGGAGATCTTTCTTGATTTATGCTCTTTTCACATAATCTATAGTTTTCAGGTATTTTTCACCTAAATTACTATCAATTTTTGAGCAGTCATAGTATGAAGAACTCCTACAAGCTTCGAACTTGTTTCCAGATACAGATAATTGATTACTGGAGTAATAAGTGAAACGGTTCTCAAGTTATTTTATTCTCCAAAGCACCTTCACATTCCTCCATAGACCATCATACAATAGTGATACATTGGACATGCTCTCGGCCAATGTTTCTCAATCTTGGCAACTTTAAGCTGTAATGGACTTCTCTTCCC